TTTGCTCTGTGTATGAAGCACTATCTCATCAGTCAGTCATTGCCAACAATACTCTCTGGAAAACCCAAAGTGTACAGAGGCAGCGGAGTCACTAGAGAATGCTTTGTTTGCCCTTGTTATAGTTAGCTATTCCTGCTATCTCAGTAAATTTAAAAAAAAAAGTTGAGTTACCTATTGGCCACAATACAAATGAAAGTTTTAAGGTAAATAAATAGCTTTCCCTTAGCTGAAACAACAATATTGTCTAGTGCCTCTAAAACACATCTATAAAAGGGCTAAATTACCTATGTGTGCCTGGAAGCAGAAGCCTGGCTAATGTTTCTTGCTGGTTTGAAAATGTGTATGTTTCTTAACCTCTTGCATATTTATCTAAGACTGGCAAAATACAAACTTCAGTAGCACCTCTGCAGCTTTTTTAAAAGCATCTGCATAAACCCAGGCAGTGTCCTCGTACTGCAGGTGTAGGTGTAAGTTTTAGAGAAGCCTGTATGAACTGCAGTGGTTTCAGTGCAGCAACGAGTTTATTGCCCACTTTGGAAGCCTGTTATACTGCTGGAGTGCTTTAGAGAAACACAGGCTGGGAAGAGGATCGGGCCCTTCATCTTCCTGCTAAGTGAGCACGGCTGGTGCAGCTGGCTGTGCGTGCAGGAATGACTGGCAGAGTCACTGTAACCTCTGGGGGGTAACTTTGGGGCAGAGTTTGACGAGCATTTCCTTCTGCAGCAATGCCACATCCAATTCTGCCTACCCTGGTGTTCTTCCTTGGGCTACTACCACTGTTCATGTGGCTTAAGTCAGAAAACTTAATGCAGGTGAAAAATAACCCAGGGTGAAACCTTTTTTCCTTTTTTTTCTTAGTACTGGTCTACTCTCTGATGTAGTGTGTTGCATAGTTTTGGCAAAGTAAGGGAAGTTGTGGTGAGGGAACAGAAACGAGATTGTGAGTTAGGCTGGCACTGCCTCTGAAAGAACTAGTTGTTGAACTAGATCCCTAAAACCAAATGGAGTAAGATTCCCTCAAGTAATAAAAATGATGGCTGTTTTCTGAGTTTTATTTCCAATAATCTGTGGTATCATCCAGACTGAACTGCAGTCAGCCCAACTCCTGCTTTACTCGACACTGGGAAGTCACTTGGGTGCAGTGATGATGTGAGGTGTAAAATAGGGATGAGTGACTGTAAATGTTATCCATGCACTGAAGTCACATCTTGCTGGAGCTCTCATCTCCTAAAACCTCCCCTCGATCTCGACGGAGTGGCTTGGGATTTTGGCACCCCTTGTATGTGAAGCAGATGAAGGGAGGGAAGTCGCATATCTGTGTGATCTGGCTATTTAAACAAATTTTGTGGAAGAAAGCACATAACTTCATTTTTACCTCACAAAAATGCACCTGACTGGAGTACGTACTCAGTGTGGCTGTTCTTTCTGTAGCTTATGAGTTCCATGGATCCTTCTGTGTGATACCGCTAGCAAATGTTATTGTATCACTTCACAACAGATACCAGAGTGGTTGAGCTTGTGCCCTTTGCGATGGTTTTGGTGGGCCTGCTCCCTTTCCTGCTGTGACCTTGAAGGGACTGGGTTGTTAGGACAGCATATTTGCTTGAAGACAGATTTTTGTGGGTCCTTATGGGAGGGGACGATCAGAATTGGCTGGAGAGGATGGAGGCAGCTTTTAAGGGCAGCATACAAAGTCCAAGAGATCAAACTTTCCACCGTGTCTGTGCCTGGCCAGGTGCTTAGGCTGGTACCCCATATATACAAGGGTACCCCACAAATACTGGAGGGGCAGCACTATCAGTCCTTACAGCCAAAAGAGGCATTTCTAGAAGCAGGTATCCACCTCATGGTAGGCAAAAGATTGAATCATTCATAGGTACAAAGCCTGCAGCCATGTGTCATGTTCATTTTAACACCGAGTTGAAGCTTTCTTGACCTATGTTCAGTGTAATTAAAAACAAATCCCTCAAATCCAAGAATTGTTTGGAAAGGATTCTGTAATGCTGGGGCAGTGGTGTATAGACATGTTCTCATGCTTGCCCTAACTGTATGAATTTGGTCGTAGAAGCTGCTAGGCTCCAACACTTCCATTGATTTGTCACAGTCTACAAATCCTGGAATTTCTTAACACCATGAGGAGTGGAAATGACTTAAAGAAAATAATTTTGTGTATTCACTGTGAATGCATTATGTACAATTTTATTACATTTCTATTAAAATAAGTTGAGATGCATTTTTCTTTATTTGCACTATTTTCAGGCTGTTTTCCTTTTGCCTAAATGAAACCCTTTTGATGCTCTTGCTTGTCTGGCTGGCTGTAAACCAGGTATTTAAACAAAAATAAAGAGTTGCCAGTTTTGCCAGCTGGGGATGAGAACCCGGCTGGTGATATGTGGGTTCGGGAGGCGGTTAATCCAGCTTTTATGCTTTTTTATGATTTTATGTAAAAAGAGGTTAAAAATCACATTTGGCTCTTTCTTTGTACCACTGTTTTGTTGCTGTTGTGGGAATGCAGCAAAAGGTTGTTCATACTTTTTATTATTATTAGGTAAAGTCCTGCATAAATTAGGTAAAGCCCCAGATACAGTTCACTGCAGCTATTGGCCGTGCGATTTGCCTTGTTCAGAGAATGATATATTTTATCTTCCTGTTGCCTTCTTTTATAAATCACACATGCAAACCACACCTTAACTTACTTGCAAAAAGGATCTACCACTGCCTCGCAAATTTTATGTATTTGACTAGCTTCAAAAGAAAAGAGTAGCTCACTGTGCAAGTGGGAGAAATGGTAACAGTGCTGATAGATATAGTAAAAAAATATATAAGGCTTTTTTTTTTGTGGCAGAAGGAACGGTGATTTAGAGACAAGTGTCACAGATTTCATATACAGTTTTTCAGCAAATAGCTTGCAATATGCTCAAACTCATAAAACATTTAATTAATTTTAAAATGCAGGAGTTATTTTAGTTAGGTTTTTCATATATACTTATTCAGATAATTTGTTGTATTTTACACTTCCAAAATTTCACCCTCTATTTGGAAATACGAATGATGTAACGAGTCTGTGTGTTTTGGCACGGTTGTAAATAGTATGTGTCAATGTGTTAATATTTATGATTTTTTAATCTTATATACACTTCTTTTCATCATGTTTCTACTACTAATCCTTAAGGACAGTGAAAACTAGGAATATGAATGCATTAATTGCTGTGGGATTGTCAAAATTGCCATACTGGATCAGATTGCATTTTGTTTCTCTTAATAGCGTGTACCAGACACTTCAGAGCAGGGTTGGATTTACTGGGAGAGAAAAAGGAGAGGCAGCTAAATGGGCTTGACACCCCTTGCCAGGACTGGCCCGGGTGGTGCATGTGTCCTGTCATGTGGTGACAGCCACTTAGTGTCCCCAGGTGGGTGAGGACTGCGCCTGCCCTTGCTTTGGAGGAGTTATTGGGAGTCACCTTACCCTTTTTAGACAATCACAAGATAATGTATTCCTGGAAAAAGGTTATCTCTGATCTGCTAGAGGTTGTCTTATTCATTAAAGCCTGAAGGCTTTGCTACTTGTCACTAGATTTTCACTGCTGTATGTCTGGATGACTGTTCCTCTGTGTCTACTTACAGTTTGAATCAGGGTGAGCTCTTCGTGGTAGGGATTGCATGAGTTTGTGTGTTGTAAAAAGGATTTTGTTTCCTGTGGATTAGGTTTTGGGTTTTTTTTAATCAGTTGTATGTGCTGCCTTTCAGAATCTGCCTTTTAATAATACAGAAACAATTCTTTATAAAGAATTATTTAATTCTTTATAAACATAGTCCAGATGTATTAGTTATATTTCTGTGATCTTTCTAACCGTTTATTACTGAAGTCTAATTCCTTGGTTTAAGGTTTTTGCCTCTTTAATAGATCTTTCTGCAGCTCTAGGTGAGCCTGCTTTAGCAGGGGGGTTGGACTAGATGATCTCCTGAGGTCCCTTCCAACCCTTACGATTCTGTGATTCTGTGAAATATCGGCAATTTGGCACATATGGTTGTAGTGCCTTCTGTATTACCATTTTATTGACTTTTAACTGTTCTGTCTTTTTTAAGTGGAAGGGTATGATCTTCTAGGAATTCACAGAATCTGGAATTAAATCTGTATATATTCTGTAGCCTTCAGTTTCCTTATTGCTTATGGTTTCATTATGGGTGTATGCTGCTATTATGTTGCCTCCATTTCTACAGTTTAATATCAAGGTGTATTAAGATCAAGACACTCTGCTTTGATTCCCTATTTCACTTCTTGGGGGCTGCCGGGAGAGGGCTGTGGAGTAGGTTGTTTTTAGGCACACAACACTGGAGGCATTATGTTAATGAATTATATAAATGTTACCATATTTCTGCGATCATATAATATAAACATAGTGTTATAGTAAACATAGTCTCATATAAACATTGTCATATTTCTTTGCATTAGCACAGTTCAGCTGTTTGGACTACTAATGAAACTGTCAGCAGAAACGCATTGAGGACTTTTAATATAAGCAAAGATCATAAAGAAGCTAAGCTTCTCGTAGTAAGATGAAAGTGTGTCTAAATTTGAGGCTTTATTCTTACAGGTGGAGTAAGTCTGAGTGAGGAGAATTCTTCCAGAAGAACGCTAACCGAGGCAGTAGTGCCCGTAGATGAAGCCTCTCTTTGTAAAACTGTGTACACTGTAAATGGGATGGTAGAGGACATGGGAAAGGGGAAAATGCAGTCATGATCATTTTGAGCAGGTCATTCTCAATTTTGTATTTTGCTTTTAGTAGTACGGTTCCTGGTATTGCCTGGAATTTCAGTGAGCTCAGGTGTGTGGGTCAGTACTGCAGCTGCGTGGATTGAGCCAGATTCTGGGAGTCCTTGTAGCACGCTGTGAAAATAAGGTCTTGGAAACGCATTCACACAGAGATGCATCAAAGAGACTGAAATGATTGTGTCTGAAATAGTGCATGTCTTACAGCTGGTTTTGGTTTCTGTCTTAGGTGCTGGAAGATAATGACTATGGTCGTGCAGTGGACTGGTGGGGATTAGGAGTTGTCATGTATGAAATGATGTGTGGGAGACTACCATTCTATAACCAAGATCATGAGAAACTATTTGAACTGATACTAATGGAGGACATAAAATTTCCTCGAACTCTGTCTGCAGATGCAAAATCATTACTATCAGGCCTACTGATAAAGGATCCAAATAAGCGGTAAGTGAAATTACTTGTGTATACAGGCACAATAAATAATTATACTGGGTAATGTAAAAATAGGCCAGTGGTGCCTGGTCTTCCTGCCTTGGAGGACCTGTCAGTCACAGAAGAGGGCCATATGCAGCCATACTGTCTCAGATTTCCACTTTTTCAATATAGCAACAAAATACAAAGTGAGTTTAACAAGCAAAATGGGAAAAAGTATGTGGAAGAGAACACTTTTATAATCAATTGCAGCAAACATAAGGATCTTCTCAGGTTTAGACTGTGTACTGGACAAAGGGAAAGCTCTAAGTCATTGCAATAAATGCTTTAGAGAGGAATTTATCTTACTTAAAAGGTTGCTTTTAAAATTTGTCTTTATATCTCTAGCAGTTCCTTTTAATGAAACACAAACTACTTGTGCCACTCTTCTTGTCAATACTTAACATATGTGGGCTACTTGTTCAGCTAAGATTAGCTTTTTTTCTGTTGCAACCTCTTTCTGTTAAAACTAAAACCAGTAGGATAGCCAGTCAGAGGAAGAAGTTTGGTAAGAGTTGAGCAGTTCTGAAAGTCCAAGTGCTACTGAAAGGGGCAGAGGTTCCCTTCACTTTCTGCACCACCAGCAGCAGCTCAAGGGAGCTCACAAAATTTGTTCAGTCAAATTTGACTTGCTAATACAACGAAAAACAGCCAGTTTGTTCTTGTTTTCTCATTGCGGGGTTAGTTTTCTTCCAGGTTAGTGAGCCGACTCAGCTTGCAGTCATCAGTGGGAATGATGCTATAGATGCAAGTGAGAGGAGAGAGCTATGGGCAGGGGTGGGATCCTCCTCTTTTGGCAGCAGTGACCACTTACATGAGCTCAAATCACCTTGGGCAAGTTCACCCAAAGTAGGTGGAATTCACTTCCAGAGATGATTTGCCAGAGTCTGGCTTTGGCAAGTTATGGGCCACAGTGAATAGTGTGGTTATTTACAATGGCCTTTAAATAACCTTCTCAGCAGGCCTACAATTTATTAATTTATACTAATTGACTGCAGTTGAGACTATTTTATGGTAATTGGTTAATTGTTACAGTACCCAAATGCAACGGCAGTGAACACTGTATAAAAATGATGTGTGAGTCATTACTGATTCAGTGCCTGGCACCTCCTTGGCAAAATTTTATGTCAGCATTGTTGGGTTGGTTTGCGTTTTTAATAGTGCCAGAGCATTAGTTGGTCTTTCAAGAAAACTAAACTTAAGTGTGTTTTTAAAATGAATGAATTATTAAAAAAGCTCATCATGGACAATAACATGAACACTGTAGTTGGATTAATCAAATAAAATAGACCATGGCATTGATACTTCCACTGTCACATTTTCTCTCAAGATCATCTGAATTCGTATTAAAGAGGTGAGAATTACGTACTGTATGGGTGCGAGTTGTTCCCAGATAGTTAAACACAAATGGTCACTTTTCCAACTATTACAGTAACTTAATCTCCCCTTAAGAATAACATTTGTTTAATATGATTTTTTTTTCCCTACTCTCTTTAGACTCGGTGGAGGCCCAGATGATGCAAAAGAAATCATGCGTCATAGTTTCTTTGCTGGAGTAAACTGGCAAGATGTATATGATAAAAAGGTACGTCTTTGTATGACATTGAATAATCTGGCTTCTGCAAGGTGGTTTCAACTGATAGTCATAGGACTGCTGCTCTCTGAAGTTAGTAATGTTTTTATTTGCAACTTTTTGTGTTAACAGAAATGAATAATTATTCCGAGCTAGGTGTAGCTACTTAATCTTTGGTTTTTCAGTAATAATTTGTCAGTGGACCAAAAATAAATTTTGCAAACCAATTGAAACTCAGCAAAGATTTTTCTTTTATTATGTAAATGTTCAAATATTTTCCTTTCCTTTTTTATTCCTGGGCCTTCAAGAGAAAAGTAGGTGTCTGACTCAAGATAATGTGAGAAAATGTAATGGAAGTCTATCCTGAATTGTCTTTTTATTTATGCCTTTTATTGAAAAGTTGTTTTATGGAAATAGGAAAACCAAGGGATTAGAAGGGACTTATAGCAAAAATCTACTTTGAGATTGTTTTTGTTTGAGTAGAACTCTTTTTCAAACTTATTTTTAAAGACATATCTAAGAAAATTAAACTAGCATTAAAACACAGAGCCAAAACAGCTTGTGGAGAAAGCGAGTACTGGGAATTCAACTGGAACAGTTTTCTCTAAACGCGGTCCTCTTCCTGAATGATCCACACTTTGGGGATGATTTTAGAAAATGGAATTTATCTTACTCAGTAGTGAAACTCAGTTTGACTTGTTTTATATACAGAAGCTGATTTTATCTCAGTACTTGTGTAAGAATTTACTTGTTGCTATAAACCCCTTCTATTTTCATGAAGTCTTTTTTTTTTTTCCCCCAACTGTTTTACATTGTTAATCTGCCAGTTGGGCTGCGTAATTTTAAAAGATAGATTTTTCTCTTTTTTTTTGCTTTGTTCAAATAAAAGGAAAATGGAAGACATACGAATGAGCAGAATATGTTTATGCTACAATGTCAATGATACAAACTGTTTTTTCAGTTGTTGTTGAACTGGAATTTTAAAAATGTGTGGCTGTTGGTGTGGTACTTCTCTGACAAATACCGGAATTGAAATAAGAGCCTGTATATGATGATAGAAAATATGGTATTCTGAAGTTTCTTGATACAAGTGTGGTTTTTCCCTGGCTTCAAAAAACTCCAAAATAAATAATGAGAGCAAGTATATTAATCAGGTTACTTTATGAGCTCAAACACTGGTTGGTTGTGGAGGGACATTGTAGAGAAGCACTTGGAAGAGAAAATCTAAAAATACAAGTTGAGGAACCTTTCTGGAGTTTAAAAAACCCCACTAAAATTGATTGAATTGCAATGTGCTAGGAGTGGGTGAGAAAGAAAAAGCTGTTAAAGTTGCTGTTGCTCTGTTGAAAAAGATTTCTTAATTATTTTATTAGAAATAGAGCTCTCAATTCTACACTGTGTTCAACATCATATTTAGTTAATAAAATACAGATACTCTTTAATTTTTAAGCACACACTTTGAGTCTTTTCAAATCAATATGGCAAATGTCTTTCAGTCAAGATCTTATTCTGAGCTATTAAAAAAAAAAAAGGAGGTATTTTGCAGGTGTGTATATATGTATATAAAAAAATCATAGAATTATAGAATCGTTTAGGTTGGAAAAGACCTTTGAGATCATCAAGTCCAACTGTTAACCTAACCCTGCCATCCCACCACTAAACCATGTCCCTAAGCAAATACATATAAATGTATAAAAATATATATAAACGTATAAACGCAAGTATTTTGCTTTAGTCTTTTTTTTTTTTCCCCCAACTGTTTTACATTGTTAATCTGCCAGTTGGGCTGCGTAATTTTAAAAGATAGATTTTTCTCTTTTTTTTGCTTTGTTCAAATAAAAGGAAAATGGAAGACATACGAATGAGCAGAATATGTTTATGCTACAATGTCAATGATACAAACTGTTTTTTCAGTTGTTGTTGAACTGGAATTTTAAAAATGTGTGGCTGTTGGTGTGGTACTTCTCTGACAAATACCGGAATTGAAATAAGAGCCTGTATATGATGATAGAAAATATGGTATTCTGAAGTTTCTTGATACAAGTGTGGTTTTTCCCTGGCTTCAAAAAACTCCAAAATAAATAATGAGAGCAAGTATATTAATCAGGTTACTTTATGAGCTCAAACACTGGTTGGTTGTGGAGGGACATTGTAGAGAAGCACTTGGAAGAGAAAATCTAAAAATACAAGTTGAGGAACCTTTCTGGAGTTTAAAAAACCCCACTAAAATTGATTGAATTGCAATGTGCTAGGAGTGGGTGAGAAAGAAAAAGCTGTTAAAGTTGCTGTTGCTCTGTTGAAAAAGATTTCTTAATTATTTTATTAGAAATAGAGCTCTCAATTCTACACTGTGTTCAACATCATATTTAGTTAATAAAATACAGATACTCTTTAATTTTTAAGCACACACTTTGAGTCTTTTCAAATCAATATGGCAAATGTCTTTCAGTCAAGATCTTATTCTGAGCTATTAAAAAAAAAAAGGAGGTATTTTGCAGGTGTGTATATATGTATATAAAAAAATCATAGAATTATAGAATCGTTTAGGTTGGAAAAGACCTTTGAGATCATCAAGTCCAACTGTTAACCTAACCCTGCCATCCCACCACTAAACCATGTCCCTAAGCAAATACATATAAATGTATAAAAATATATATAAACGTATAAACGCAAGTATTTTGCTTTTTATGCTCATGGAGGTGGATATGGCTTATTGGAGTATTATAGCTGGAGAAACTGTAGTCATTCATTGCTTACTCTGTCCACTCTTGCTTTGAGAAACTAAATTTGCCATTAAAAAACCAATTAAATTTCCTCAGTTGAACAGTTAACTTCAAGGATCACAGGAATTGCTGGTGTGCAGTATTGGCACACAATGTGTTCTTTACGGAAAAATAAGTTATGAAAGTGACTTCTGACAGTATGTTTTTCTGTTTAATTAAAAAATAGTTTCATTCCTATTACAAAACCATTTGTCGGGTTGGTTAAAATGCCCAGTTTTTCCTCCTGCACACACAGTCTTACCAGCTCTGAAGTATGCAGGGTAAGAGTGTGCTCTGAAATATAAACTTCAAACATAATAATAAGGTTAATGACCTTTCACCGAGTATGTTTATTAGAATGCTTATATGAATATTTTTGAGGGTTTGGTATTCTGAAATAACCCAGGAGGGATGTGCATGAAACAAATTTGATTTTCAAATGGATTTCTTCTATGCTTGCTTCTGTTGCTGTTTATTAGTAGTAGTACAGTCTTCGGCAGTAGGGTCACTTGATGAAATTGATAGTTGATATAATTATTTGCATAGTAAAAATATTTCACAGTATCCTTGCCTGAGGTTTATGCACCATGAAACTGTAATTTTCTGGCGATGTTTCAGGACAGTCTTTCTGTTAGCAATGACAGAACTGAAGTTCACGTTCAGAGTAATGGAAACCAAAAAATCATGTGTATTCCAAGTAGTTGCCAGGGGATAGTTTTGTACATGTGCACACTATGCTCCTGTGCCACTAATTTTATCATTTTTGCTAGAGATTAAGTACATCTCTGTACTTGCTAGGTTAATCACTTCACCGGTGTGATTAGAGACAGAATTATATATCTGTAAACTCGGAGTGTTCCGTGCAACAACAGTAGCTCTGTTAGGTCAAATGGATCCAAATGGTCAAATGGAATTATTAGCTCTCTGATACCGCTAACTAATTAAACTAATTTGGTACTACACAATGGTAATAAAATGTTGTATGGCACACTGGAGCAGAGAAGGTCATTGCCTTTAAATGAAAAATGTATAGTAGTTAGCATTTGTGATCAGATGTATTTATTTTTGGCAGAAAAACCATGAGGGCATATGAAAGAGAGCAGACTGTGCCAGGTCCTCATGAGTTTTTATCTCTGTGCCTGAGTATGAGAAATTGAATAGTTTGGCAAACTCTGAAGGCTTCAAACCCCTATATACTTCTAAATAAAATATTTGTTTTATTTTTAGCTAGAATCAGGAAGCTTTTTGAAATTTCTCTGTTACTTGTTTAAGAATTGTTTTAGCATATGTTTATTTGGGTTGCAGAAATATTTTTCAGTTGTTGGATGTTCTGTCTAGGCTCTTTCACCGAAAAAAACCCATGTGGGCATTAATGTAAAGGTAGGAATTTGGGTATGTCTTCAGGCTTGCAGCTTCAAGCACTCCGGTAGCTTCACGTCAGAGGAGATCCAGACCTTTTAGCGAAGCCTGAGTTTCCTCCTGCATGTAATACGGATGAAAGAAGAAGAAATATGGGAATTTGGGCTGAGATACATGTATCTTCTCCTGATTTCTGATAATACCTCCGATTGTTCCTGGAGCAAATTAGGGAGTGCTAACGGATTTATTTGTACTGGGAAGGGAGCAGCTGTGACTACCTTTGCTTTACTTAAGACACAATATTAGCAGATGAGATGATGGAGCCCCATGATTGAAGCCCTGGGTTCAGGCCTGGCAAAATCTGCAATATAACTATGAGCTTAAATGCACGTTTAAGTACTTTCATGTAGCAGATTTTAAGGGAAAGGGCAGGAGGGAAATAGGAAAATGCCAACATCTGGTTTTAAGCCGTTGCTGTCTGAGTCGCACTATTTTTGTACAATTATCTGCAGCGCAACAAAGCCTGTAGAAATGATCCTCGTTACTTGCTTTTGTGTTGTTGCCATGCGAAGTAGTGAAAAGATCAGAAAACTGCTACCCAGTCTGATCTTTTCATTGTGTTTCCTGCGCTACTTTAAAGTGTATGGGCAGACCTAGTCATTCGATTACCACCCCTGCCCCCAGCTGCTTGAATATGCAGGGAGGAAAATACACATTAGGGTGCCTGATTTCTTAAACTTGTTGCTGTAGTCCTGGGGGTTGAGGTTTCTCTCTGTCCCTTGTATCAATGCTGTATCACTTGGAAAACAGGGTTTGTCCATGGGCAACCCCCCCAGCCAACGCCCGCCTTCCTGTGGATTTGTGTTGTGTGTCCACCACTGCTGAAATCCC